CTCAGCCCCTGGTTACAGACACAGCTGCATATAGAAAAATATTACTCACCATAGACATTACAGTTCAGTGCTCAGTGGTATTTTATTTTGAATAAATAAAATGTAAAAATAAACAATCTAGCCTAAACATGAGACTAATTTTAATCCCAACTGACTGTAAAATATGTTTGTTAAAGCTCCAAACAAATTGGATTCTCTCACTAAAATCTTCTGCAAATATTTCATTTAGCTTCATGAATGCCTGCGGTTTAGAACAAAATCGTTCTTGTTCATTTTGATTGTTGAGTTTGGACCTAAAGCCACAAATTAACTGACAAACAGTTATTTGCCAGATTGAACAATCAATGATGATTTAATCTCCTGTCAGATGTCCCTTCTGTTCCCTTGAAATAATTCAGACGAACAGCTCCACAACAATTTACCCTTATTACATGTGTTAGACTATTATGTTCTTCACAGTATCAAAGACACAAAAGGTAAAATGTTTGAAATTATATACTTTTCTCCTGTTAATCTTCAATTAGACTCAAACAGGGTTTGCAACAGTTCCTCTGGCATCAACACAAGAATTAGATCTGCCTGTGCAAGACAGAGATGATGAGAAAGGGAATTTGGTGTTTCTTCCAAATCAGACAGGGAGAAATCTGGCAGGGGACCAATGAACAAAACAAAAGTCACACAATAGTACAACACATTGTGTGATACTTGAGTTTAAACAGGTTCGGGCAGAGTGTGTAGGGAAAATATCTCAGCCAATGGACAGGAAAAAGGTTTTCCACACAAAGAAAGTAATCAATTCTCCTTCAATACCACACAATACAGCTAAAATGGTCTCCTTCAGCCTGAGGTGCACATATTTTTTTTCTCATTAATGGTGAAAAAGCACCTTCATACACCACCCGCCTGACAATGTACTACAGGGAAGAGGAATACGCATAGGAGCCATTTTTCACAGGGTAAACAGGGTCATAAACTATCCATAGAGGAGGCAATTACTCTCCTACCTGACACTACAAGCCATTTCAGCCAATCAAACGGCAGCAGAAGCCAGCAATCGTGGTCTTATGGGCAGCTAACCAGGTTAGCTATGCTACTAACACAGGCCAGCTCTGCCAAGCCAAATTGGTCTTCGAGATTTAGTGTGGCTCTTTCTAAAGCCCAGGAGTCATGTGATGTTGCTAAGAGGACTGCTTTTTGGTTCAAGCAGGCCAGGCTTCTCTTCTCTGGGCTGTCAGCAAGCCAAGGAGCCCTGCAAGATGTTTGTGATTTACAGGCCAGTACCAAGGCCGAGGCAGACTACTTTGCATGTGTCCTGATTCGCCTCTTTGTTTCCTCTGCAGACTTCATTTTGATCTTTTCCACACATTTGATGCTTGACCCTGCTGTTGGAGGACAGAAAATGGGCTCTCCATTTACATTCACAGCTTCATGTTGTGCAAAAGTACAGTCTCTGGTTTGGAGAAAAAGGAAAATTGGACTAAAAGGGTAGAGAGGAGTTGATAATGATGTAATGAGTGGATGTGAGAGGCACGAAATCACACAAACTGAGCCTGCTTTGAGCACTAAGGACCGGCTCTATTACAAAACCCATTTATGCACCTCCACCATCACAGGTGGAGCATGACAGTCAGAAACTCCTCTGATCAAATATAGAGCAGCAAAGGGAATATTTAATATGTTGACAACCAGCTATATTTCTCTTTAACATGGGAGCTCATTTAAAGTGAATTCTTGGCATCCAGCAATGTATTAATGTATGTATCATAGAATAAGTCTCTTTATTCTGCAAGAACTTTTTTCATGGGGCTGGGAAACTTGAATCATGATTTTATGTTGTAGGTCTATAAAGAGAAAGAGGCTTGAAGAAGATTTCAAAAAGTCAACAGTAATTGAACTGAGTTAGCATTTTCAGCTTGAAAACCACAAATTTGGAGGGTTTTTTTCTACATGAGTATTGTTTCTGTCTTTTCACGGTTGAGTTTAACCCATGCAGACAGGATCGTTCTTAATGATGCGCCGCCTTTCAGCACCGCTTTATGACCTTGTCTTTGTGCATAAAGATTCTTCCAGATCATAAAGATCTTTACAATCTGAGAAACATTATCTTTGACATCATTTTTATCTTCTTGCTTTTTTTCCCTTAACCCCTCATGTGTTTGCACCTCCACTTTCTGAGAATCTCCCTTTTTGCCTCCTCAGGACAAACCTGTTGGCAGTTAGATTAATTAGTTGTCATCTCTTCCACCAGGTGTTCCTCATCTAATCAAGATGGATCTCCTCTTTCCTGCTTTCCTCGATTCCAAAGAGTTAACCATAAAAAAATGCATATGTAGTAAAAATGTTAAGAGCTCTGGTTTTCTAACTTTACAACGTTACACATTTATAAACGTGAAAGAATTTACACATATAAAACAGTAAAAATAGTCAAATTAATTATTATGAAAAGCTGGGTTTACTATTTCTGAATTTGGCCTTTGACCAACTAATTCATTTATATACTGACTTTACATCCTACATATATTCTTTTTGGGATTTTGAATATCTGTTTTCTTTTAGCAATGTTCCAATTGAAGATGCTGAGATACAAAAATTTTTTCCGATTTATATGATGAGAAATCCTCCTTCTAATGCAACATACTGTTCCACAGTAGCAGTGAGATGAATTAAATCAGTTTAAAAAATGCTAGCAAAGCTGGAGTTGACGTTGCATATGCATGCTTCATCAGGTGGGTTGACCTCGCCACCTTTCCTATTTAGGACCACTTTCAGGATTGGGGTGCATCTTGAGCACAACTAAACTGAATTCCAGTGAGACCAACACAAACACATCCACACTGGCAAAGGAGAACTAGTTCTGTGTAGTCTTTACGGTTAGAAATCCCTTCTAGTTTAAAATAAAACTGCATCAAGATACTAAATTCTACTGGAAAATAAGTGCATCATATTATTTTTTAAAAGCCCTTGCTTTTCAGGCCACAGACAAAAAAGGTGCAAACATTTTATCTGTGTATATTGTCCAGGGAAAGCCAAACTGAGCATGTTAATAAAAGCTGAAGGAGCCGTGTATCACAACAACAGGCTTTCCAATATCCTTCTCAGGAGTGAGACTCACTCCCCTGCCAAGGAGGACTCACTTTTGTGCATCTGCTGTGATTGTTTGTAAATGATGGAAGCATTGATTTCAGCCTCTCATGAGATCTTCTCAGTCCGTGCAATTTGTTTGCGGGGAAGGAGGTAAAATTGGAGAAAAAAAAATGCCGGTAATAGAGTTGGAAACAGGAGACATAAAAGCCACCCACACAGACACAGCTGCGGTGGAAACAAGCAAAGCCCCTCGGAGGCAAAAGCACACAGACAAAGTAAAAAGATTAGAAGTCGTGAACATCTGCAGATCTAATTTTCTTATTCTACTCAGAACCAACAAAGAAATACGGCACTATATTTTTCTTAATGCACAGATTGCATGCGTGACACTCGAGCTACACAAGTGCAAATAATTGTAAATAATATTATCTCAATTTCTTAGAAATGTAATGTGTGGGCAGGCCCTCCAAGCCAACGGTTACAGTGATGTAAAAAAAAAAAAAAAAACATGTCGATGTACTGCCACCTTTTGGCTGGAGTCACACCTCACATTTCACTGTACAAACTGTGAAAAAAACAACAACAACATAAAGACTAAACAGAAAGATTACATTTAGAGGTTTTCCATTTCTCCTTCAGCCCATTCATGGTATTAAAAGTGGCAGTTTCCATTAAAAAAAAAGACATGAATTTTTTCTACTACGACTCTTTGCCAAATTTAATTTAGACGTTGATTAATATACTATTCAGGTTAATCCGAACTCTAAATATACAAAAATTAAGACGGTTTTACATGTGAATCATCCATAGTATAATAAAAGTGTAGTTTGGACTTTTTCTTTTCAGCAATCTGAAGGAAGAAGTGCTCAGCATAGAGGCCTAGTTTTCTGATCTTGACAGCTTTTATCTTCAGTCTTACAGCACTTCTGTGCAATCGATCTAATATTTAAAGCCTCTTTCTCTAGAAAACTATGAAACAAACACGAATGCTCTATCAGCCCAGTGAAAAAAACATTAAGGAACATTGACATTTTATAAGAGCCTAACGTTTCAATTGTATTGTGTTTAATAGTTTTGCAGGATAACATAAAGGATGCTGAAATATACACATGGTGGGTCTATACATGAGTCCAGCACTGAGCTTTAAAAAAAGCTACAACCCTCCAAATGACAGCATTTTAGGGGAGAATGTGGAAATCATCATTCAAAACAAATGGCACATTTTAAAAACAATCTTTTCAAAAATCTTTTGTGACTAAAGCCACATATCCTCCTGACTATGCCCATCAAAATGAAACTAAACCTATACATAAATTCCCTTTTTAACACAATCAAAACCTGAATATTTCTAAAATCTTTCATTCATCCATATCTTCTGAAATTATTCTGGCGCCAAATCACTATAAAACTGTTTTAAAATAGATAACTATATTAAAAGAATGACAGACAAACTAAGAAGAGTGCAGTGACAGAGCAGTTTTTCTTTTATTTAACTTGAAAATGATCTTCCTAGGTGCATTCAATTCTGTTTGGGAATTAAATGCCCTAAATATATCATCCAGCAAACATCTTCCCTCATTAGCTCAGAAGTTATAATTTGTGTCAAATATCTGGACTTCTTCTGTCAGATTTTTCAGCCATAAGATTCTTTCTTTTCCCTGTAAGCATTAGCTGTTCTTTTCATCCAGTAGGTGCTTTATAAAAGTGTGAAATGGCATGTATTGTTACAGTTTATTTCTGAGAAGAAAAAAAATCCACTGTGTGGTAACATCAGAACAAATGCAGTGATGATGTTTACTGTGTGATCCTAATCAGTGGCTATCGCTGTGAAGACTCATTATGCGGACTTCTATAAGGTCCATGTCTTTGCCTCCCAGAGTTTATTTTGAGAAATTATGCACGGAGCAGACTTAAACTGCCAATCCCATAACGCACAGCACCAGAAGCACCAATGACATGAGCCTTAGGCTGGGCGTGATCATCGATGCTTTACCTAAGGAAGAAGACAAAAAAATAAGACAGGGGATTACAAATATAAGACCATCAGAAGACACTCTTAGATAATTTATTTTTATGGGCCTTACCCTGAATCCTAATCTTCCTGACTGGGCCATCTCCTCCTTCATAACGGCCTCGTACCATCAGTTCGAAATCTCCAACCTGAGGCATGGGGAAGTCCATGAAGTGCCAGCCAGTAATGTAGACCTTCCCATAGATGTATCCTGTCTTCCTGAACATGACCTGGCAAACAAGACAGAAAAGAATTTGAACATTTAGAAAATTATTTAACTTCTTTTACATAAGGTGGAGAAAGGTTTAGGGAGCTGCTTGTACCTACCTTGTAGTACAGAGGGAAGGAAATATTGCCAAACCAGTCGTACTCGATGTGATCCCACCAGACATACAGCCATTGTCCAGTCCAGCTGATATAGCGCCACATCCTGGGAGGCTCTGGTGGTGCTGCACGAAAAAAAAACCCTCAATAAATCCATATGTATATGTATGCATTACCATATCCAATTTTTTCTTTGTTCCAACTGGACTTACGTGCTCTCTTTGTGAACATCTCACAGTGTTCACCAGGGGGTCCAAACCCGGCTCCATTGAAGGCTCTGACCTCAATGAGGTAGTGTGAGTCTGGCAGCATGTTCTCAAGCCGGGTCTGATTGACTGTTGCTGGAACGAGTATGCGATTGGCTCCTGGTTCTGGGTCATCATATTTTCTCCAGTATTTGATCTGGTTGGAAGAACAGAGGATCAGGTCAGATCAGATTTAGTCTGAACAATAGTCTTCCCTTAAGTTTTGTAAATCTGGTGGTGTACCTGATAACCCTCTATGTACTGCTGTAAACCTGTTCCAGTATCGACCACTGGCAGCCACCAAACCACAGCCTCAGTGGAGGACACTGGCCGGGCATACACATCTGTTGGAGACTCTGTGGGAACTGGATCAGAAAGAAAAGAGCAGAAATAAGCCCATTTTGGCCTATTGAATTGATGAGGAAGCTGTAAAATCTAATCACATAGCTTTTTGACACATATTTAGGTCACCAAGATTGAAAATAAATAAAACAATGATTGAAATAAAAAATTTAAAAAATGGTTTACCATCTCTTGGGTAATAGATGACCTCAGTGAGGCTGTCGGGTCCGTCTCCTTTTACGTTAAAGGACCTCACCTTCACCTGAAACTCTCGCACCTGGAAGTCCTCATCAGTCGGAACGAAGTAGGAATCTCTGTGAACATATCGTCTCGTCTCCGGATCCGAGATGGTCTCATACCACCAGTCATAGGCATCATGAGGCTTGAATGCCACAATGTAGCCAAATTTTTTCCCATAAAAGAACCATGGCTGCACAGGCTAGTGGTGGCAAGTGAAAAAAGATATGAGTTGTTTTTTTTAAAAAGGCAGCAGGATATCAATGCAACTTTTGGGTGAGGAATTAAAAATGAGACACTTACATCCCATGTGATGACGATCTCACCATTTCGACCTCCATATCCAGCTACATTAGTCGGGGAAACCACAGGAGCTGGAGGAGAAATAGTTTATTATACCATTGCATATTTTGATATAAGTAGTTTTGAATAACAGTTGCTACATGACAACAGCGTCCTTACAAGCATCCCAGGTTTTTATCTTGAGGGATGGGATACTGGCCTCTCCTGACCCATACTCATTGGTGGCAATGATCCTGAACTGGTACTCCATCCACGGGTACAAGTCAGTTACCTCAGCTTTCTCCATTGTTCCGTCAAGAAAAGTCGGAGCTGAGGAGAGCAAATATCATTTCAAACATATTTCTTTTAAGCTGACGACACCCAAAAATAGATGAAAAATATGCCAAAACCTTTTCAGAGCACATACAAAGACAAGGAATCTCTAATTGGGTCAATGGGGCCCCCTGCTGGCAAGAAGTAGTACTCACAGGTGCTTGCATTCTTCCAGTCGTCTTCATTCAGCGCCCAGAAGTGCCTGGTCTGAATGGTGTAGTAGAGGATTGGGCTGTTATGCTCCGATCCTTTGGTCCACAACAGCCTCACCCACGTGTCCCCAATCTCCTCAATCCGGATCACACCAGGAGGCCCAGGAACACCTGGAGTTAGTTGATGGAAAGTTTGGTATCAAGGTGATCAGTTGTCCTCATCTGTTCTTTTATTGTTTCTTTTAGTTAGCGTGGCTGGACTGACCTACAACTTTAAGGTCAGCGTAAGCAGTGTCGTTGTCCACCACAGTTTGAGCTGTGCATGTATAGCGACCCTCATGCCATATCTGGGCATTTTTTATTCTTAGATCACCAATTCCATCTTCACTCTAACCAACAAAAATAAGAAAATGGCGGAGGGGGGAGTGGAACATGGAGTTGTTTATAGAAAACTTGACGACAGCTGTTTTTAGAGAGGTCTAGAATAGGTCAAACTTACCATAACGCGTTCATAATGTTGCCACTCAGAGTCAAAGTCAATGACTCTGAAGTCTATGGCCCAGATGAACGTGATGTCCAGCATGGGGTCAAATGAAGCAGCACACCTGAGAACAATCTCATCACCAACTTTGACCTCACTGTCCTCGGGTGCTACTGAGAGGATGGTCGCCTCTAAGTGAAAAATGACATCATGAGGTTAAATCAAGACCCAGGTGAAAGTTTGTTTTAACAAAACTTCTAAAATGAACATGGACAACTTTAAGATTGATTTCATATAGCATTATTTCAGTAATCCTTAAAACAAGCTTTACTTGGTTCCACTCTACCTTAAGTGGGGGAAATCTCTTCAATAAGGTTAAAACTGTATTCATAGTGTAATATTTACACTATAAACCATGATGGGAACTATAATGGATCTGAAACTCGCTCAGATGTGTAAACAAAAAAGCCATAGCATAAATCTGGAATTTCAGCACAATGGACAGCGCCACTGGTTTATTAATCCACAGCAAAATGGAGCTGATGAGATTTAAAAAACTACAGACAGTGTAAGTACTGTATGTATGAATCAGACAGAATAGATACAAAAAAACTATTTAACAAAAGAGCCCTGCTGGTTCTCTGCTACATTTAAGAGCAAAGATCTAAAGAGCAGAACATGTTTTTGTTCATTTTAAAAGCAAAAGGAACACCCCCTTTCATCCTTTTTTTTATCACCTATGCACACAAACTGTTCAAAAACTGACCTGTCATGGTGAGATATCCCGAACTGTTGGCCTTTCCTCTGTCATTCTCTGCCAGGCAGGTGTACAGACCTTCATCATTTATGGTGGCATTTCGGATCTCCAGACTTCCATCAAACATGATTGAAATGCTAAAAAATTTCCAGAATTAAAACAGTTCATTCATAGATTGGCATTTTAGAGTCATTCTGGGGCTACATTTGTTTTTTCATGCTCCATGTTTGAATATTTTACTTTCTCTGATTCTGCTGACCGAGAATTGTTGAAGAGGAGTTCTTTGCCCTTCGTCCATGTGAATCGAGGTCTCGGAGCGGCTCTCGGTTTGCACTCAATCACTACCCGTCCACCTTTAGCCCCGAGAAGCTGCTTTTTAACAGGGTTGAGCTCAAATGTTGGAGGGCATGCTGGTGGCAGATAGGAAGTGACACTTTGAGTTGAAGCACCGCTTTACAAAACCTTGCAGTGTGCAGAACGCTCACCAATGACCCGAAGCTCCGCGTTGGCATATTTGATGCCCCAGAAGTTCTCGGCTATACACTGGTACATCCCAGAGTCATCGAAAGTCAGACTGGAAAACTTGAGCTCCCCTTTCCCATACTGCAAAGCATCCACACAAAGCATCCACACTTAGCAACAGCTCAGCTGATCATCAAATCTCTTCGAATGCAGTAAGGAACTGTGATATTTTTACCATATATCCATCTTTATACCAGCGGATAAAAGGGAAAGGTTTCCCTGATGCCACACAGCGCATTGTGTGCTCGGAGCCTATGTCCATTTGAGTGTTGTTGATGGTCTCTGCCCACTCTGGAGCGGCTGAAAGCACAAGATATTCATCAGCGTGAAGACACCACAGAAATCAGTGGAATGCACATCAGTAAACGTATCTTACACTCCACATAGAGCCAGGCTTTGTGCCAATCCTTCCCTTTGGTGTTGATGGCTTCACAATCATAAGCTCCCACGTCTTCATACTGAACATTGTAGAGATGAAGCACTGCTCCTGATTCACTGATTTCATGATTTGGAGGGAGGTCTGTCGAATCCACTTTCCTCCACACAATATCCGGGATGGGACTGAACAGATAAAACAGGCAATGGGTCTGTTTTCATACATAGTCCATTATTCTATAGTAAGAAAGTTTGTTCAAAAGTGGCAAACATTCAACACACAGCACAACTTTTTTTTTATAATGCTCTGATAATTAAGGCTATTCTGTTTTTATTTAACGGAATAGTCCTGAATGTCATTTTTCTTTTAAAAAATGCCTCCATTAATAGTTTTTTTTTTTTGCATGTGTACCTATTTGAAATCCCTCCAAAGCGGTTCAATGGAATTACCATTGAAGCTTGACTATGTCATTCAGGATTTTTAATGCATACCATCTGAGGGCAGATATCTTTTCTAAGGTCCTGCAAACTCATACATGGAGGAAACATTTACAAAGTCAATCAAAACTTACTTTCCAAGAGCAAAGCACTCCAGTGTGATATTGGAGGCCAGCATGGCAGTGGTGTCAGGGAACTTCACTCTGATATCTGCCGGATATCTTCTCTCCTCACCTGGGAAAAGTTAGCAATTGTTTAGCATAGAATACATTAAAAAAAGTTACACATGTATTATATCAAGCTGCAGCAGGCCTGCCATGGCCTACCATCTTCAGGGGGTAGGGGGATCAGAGGAATGAACTTGGAGTAGACGCTCTTCCCTAAGATGGGACTTGAAACGAAGCAGGAGTAGTTTCCTGCATCCTGAGCTTCCACTTTGGAGATGTAAAGGTTCCCCGTTTTCTGAGAGACGAACCGGCGCCGGTCCGTGTGCAGGAAAACGGGGAACTCGTTGTAAATCCAGCGATAAGTCACTTCCTCTGAAAAGGAAAAAATAGGAAAAAACAGTCCGGTTTTAGACATTTCAAAAGCTGGTTACATATCCAGGATGTAGCCTGCTGGTGAAGAGAAGAACATCTGTCCATACCTGGCCAAGCTTTTGGAGGTGCACACAGCAGCACCGCCCCCTGTCCTTCCTTCACATGCACCGGCTCTCTCTCCTCATCGGGAAACTCCTCTAAAACTGCATGATAAAGAATAAATGAATCCTAAACGATGGATCAGAAAATATAAACAGGTCAACTCGATCGCCACCAGCTGATTTCTCATTCAACTCCTAAATCAAACGTTGGTTCTGTCCGCTTCTGCGCGGCCATCTTTAACGAAGCCCGTGAAATGCTCACATCCAAACTTGACCCTGGCCTCTTTGCTGATGACGGTGCCGTAGATGTTCTTGGCCACGCAGATGTAAGTCCCCGCATGTTTTTTATGGATAGGATTAGTGATCACCAGGTTTCCACCAACCAAACTGTAGTGCTCGTCTGGCTGCTCCATCAGCTTGATTTCCCAGTTATCGCGCCTCCATCTGTGACATAAATACATTAACTGTGACCTGCACAGTGTGGACGCAGTCTTGATATGATAGAGTCTGACATCCATGATGGTTTTCCAAACCTGTACGAAGCCGGGGGGTTTGCGCGGGCCCTGCAGTTCATGGAGATTCTCTTGTCCGGTGAGTCCTCAGTGTAGACCACATCCACAGGCTCTTCTTCAAATATGGGGCCATAACCGGTGGCATCCTCTGAAAGATTTAAGCGAAACTTTTCAAGCTTGGGTGTTAATATCCCACTGCCATGTTATTGTCAATTAAACTGAGCTCACCTCCGAATATCCTGGGCTCACCGAACAACACGGCCACTAGAGGAGAAGAAATGTTGAGAAGAAATCTTGTCAACACTTTCCAGAAGCGCAAAAATGTTTCTTACTTTTTTTAGTTTGATCTTACCTGTCAGGGAGACAGAGGAGGAGATGACCAGCAGCAATAAAGCAGTGGAAGCCATGACGGTCAGCAGACTGAGCTACTGGACGGATGGGCAGAGGGACGCAAACAGGAAGTCAGTGGATAGGGCATGAACTGGAAAGGGCTGCGAGAGACAAAGACAAAGACGTCTGCTCATTTCGATCTGCTGATTTACTTCACCATCCAGATTAAACAATTTACTCCTGTCGTTAACATGGTCTGGCTAATGGCTGAAACAGCCAGAGCTGTCCTGGCTCGAGCTCTGACTCTGCATTTAAATGATTCAGGATGTGAGTGACTCAGCTGGATGATACTAAAGGGTGTGAGGTAAGTCCTTGCGTGCTCAAAAGAAGCACATAAGTACAGAGGCACATAATGCTACTCAAACATGAATCCCCAGAGCTCGCTTTGTGTGCAAAACCCACAGCGGTTCTGCAGTGTCTCTACGTCTCATACTGTGATGTCACACATATTCATGTGTTGCCTCTGCAGGGCGGGGTAGCAAAGCAAGTCCAAGCTATCCCGGTCGTGAAGGGGAAAACAGAAAGTGGGAGTCAGGCACTGGGATCAGACAGAAACAAGGATATATATAGTTTATACCTAAACACAACGCAAGTGAGGTGGGGGAGGGTGGATTACAAAGAAGCACGCTGCAATGCAGAGCACCACAAGTCCTTCAACTAAATCAGTCATCCTGAGTGTGATGGGGAACTGTTCCAGCAGCATTTAGTCTCAGGTCAAATGCATTGGAGGTGGGCCATAGGCTTCAGGTCACCATCAGCAGGAATGCCTATTCCCAGGGATGTTTTTTGAAAATAGTTGTTTCCAAGCTGCCCTCGAGGGCTGGAGTTGGAGATCCTTGGTCAAAGCTGCAGCTGAAAACACTCTGAATCATCTTTGTCTTTATTTTCTGTTGCAGATGTTGGCTCTGACTAAGTTAGGACCCAGAGATTCATCAGGACACCACACTGTTAGCTGTCAGGTCTGTTGTCATACTGGGGTTCTTGATCTGTACCTTTAGATCTTTAGAATTAGAACATGAACCTGAAAAAACTACAGATAGCCAGAAAAACACGTTTTAATATTGTCTATTAAAGACCTGAATTCCAATAAAAAGAATCCTTTGTTTAGTGTTCACTATGCAGCCAAATAAAAGCCACACAGATTTTGCAAAGTCATCCTGAGAGAAAAAAAAAGAAAAGGGCAAAGAAATACAGATCTAGCATGTAAAGGGGGAAAAAAGCAGTCTGTTCTGTCTCAGCCAACGAGACAGAAGAACAGAAAACATCATTATAGGCACCCTCCCCGTGCAATGAGAGCCCATCCACATGCAGAGACTGCAGCACTGACTCCTCATGGCAGTCCTGATGACTCAACAATAATTCCCTCACAGTACGCAGCAACTGGCTGCACATGTCCTGCCTTTGCAGCCTGTACAGTTTTGAGAAAAAGCTCGACAAGAAGATATACAAAGTCCTCTCTGACTATGAAGATCATATATCTGACAAAATACCACCAAGCATTTGTAAATACTCCAATAGATTACGCCGCCGCCTTTTGTTGTGCTCTTATCAATCAATCTGCTGGTGTTTTCATGCTTTTCCTGGGAATAATCTGCTCTGAGATCCTCTTTGGACAGCCCGATGAAATTTAGGTCAGCTCATGTATTAAGCCTGGTGTCTTAGTGACTGGCTGAATAGCCGTGTTTGCTGTGGTTTTGTGGTAAAAAACAGTCAAAGTTGGGGTAAAAATAAACGTTATAAATCCAAAAAACATTATGCTGATCTGGAGATTAGAAGGGAGAAATAATTGCATCTGATCAACTGAAGAAGAATCCCCCCTTTGGGGACCCATAAACAAATCTATCCAGCTATCTAACATGTTGAGAATGCTTCTGACAGCTATGAGGATTAATTCTTTCCTGAGACATTTCCTATTGTCACTGCTGTTTTGCAAACATTCCAAATTTTTGTGTTAGAATGGATTACATCAACAGCAAATAGCCATCGTTAAGTTGACATTCATATAAACTTTGTGTCATAATACAGCATTTTTTTCCAGGTAAGCCTGTATCGGATGCCATGATGCGTTCGCGGCTCCCTGCGCCCTTGACGCAGACAGAATGTGACACTTTCACCTTGCTGCCTCCTCCCTGCATCCACTTTCTGTCTTTTTCTTTTTTTTTCTCTCTTTCTTAAACTGTCCGAGGCTCAAACTCCATCGGCTAAATCAGATTTTTTCAAATTTTCTCCAGCGAACAGCGACTCTGCAGCCGCTTCCAAAAGTAAGTGCGCAGCCTCTTTGCATCACTTGGGCCTCATGACGACTGAGCCGGCACCGGTAATTCACTGCTCTGCAATGCGGTACTAACGGTGCCGGTCCACTTCAGCACCACGAAGAACCCAGATGGACCAAATCCAGACGGGACACGGGAGATGCGTTTACGCACATCCTCTCGCTCCGGGTTTGTTCTTACCTTTTGAGACGGGATGGGGATAAAAAAAAATGTTCCGGACGCCGTCTTGGTGGCACACCTGGACCCAGAACCGCATCACCCCCACACAGCCCACCCGCCCGAGCGTCCCGTTCCAGATGAACTTTTCTATTGGATGGGAGACGTTGAGTGGCACGTCACAGGAGCAGCGAGGAGGAGGCTGCGATTGGTCCATGAGGGAGGGAGGATGGGAGGGATGCGGCTGAGCATCTCAGGGAAGGGAGGTAAAGGCTTCATGGGAAAGGAGTGGGGATTAGATCAGTGACAACAGACCAGAACGCTATAAATAAATAGTAAGGTTAAAGAAAGTGTAGATGATTTTCTGAGATAATATTAACGGGAAATTTCAAGGTATATTAAAGAATAGTTATAAAGAACTTTGAAAAACAGCATGTAAAACATCATGAAAATAAAAATTATATTTGAAAAAGTCTGTCATTTGTCCCCTTGCTTGATGCAACCATGTGCTGTGCATTATAAATAACCTTCAGTTGGATCTATTATTTATGACTTCAGTTACAAAGGACAGACAACCAGATGTCCTTCCAGCTTGGTCCATCATTTTTCATTTGACTGAGCTCATTTTTAACAGAAATGAAAATAATTGATTGAATTAAAGGTCTTTTTTTTAGCATGTTTTGATGGATGTCGCGTTTACAAATGACAACTTTTGCATGGAAAACACAATGTGCTCTTTGTTAATAAAAATCTGAGGGAAAACACACAAGCAGCAGATGTGTTAATCCTGCAAGGATTACACTTTTGGACGTTTATCACTGTAGCAGGCAAAGGATTAAAAAACAACACCAACTCATACACTAGATGGAGCCAACAACACATGGGAATGAATCCAGAAGGGGAGCAAAAACAAGAGTCACTCGAATCCTGAAATCAACATTTATTTAGTTTTCTTAAACTTCATTTAAAATACAAAATATTTTCCAATATCATATTGTTGAGTTAACCATTTTGACAGCCTTTCATGCTTCTTGTGTAGCTTCAACATTAACCAGAATGTCAAATTGTTCAACAGGAACTACACCATCATTTCCAGGATAGCCACACTCCAATTTGCCAGATCACTGAAGTGATCCTATTGTACACTCCAAATGTCTTCTACTTTTTTGTTTATTGGTTATTTTTAGCGTATGTGTGTGCACACTTTTGAAAGGATATGTCACTTTTGTCAAATGTCTACTTAAAGACATCTAGACTGAATTGGATGTGCGCATTTCTTTGAAACCTTACAGCCATTTTACCTGTGCGCCTTAAAGAAAAACACTGAAAATGTGCAGGAACTGTCCGAGACAGACACATCACAGGTGCCACAAGAGCTCACTCACAAGTTAAATCATCTCCTTTGATACCTGATTGGCTAAACAGTTGACCTACCAAATTCACCTGACGAGAAAAAAAAATAATAGATTGAATTTCACACCAAAATGAAAGAGTGAAAACTGTGAATAGTTTCATCTCACACAATCCCAGTGCCAGAGAGGTCAGGCTCTCACCTCCGACATCGACACACCTCCGCTTATTTACAATGAAAAAAAAAAACTAAACACATCCACATGAGGAATGCTGACACATTGCAACCTAAAAACTTGATGCAAGTTATGATAAAACATGGAATTGTTCTTTGGAAAAAAAAAAAAAAAAAAAACGACTGCTTGATACACTTCCAAACTGCAGACGGTTATCAGTGAAAAATAGAAAGCAAAAGTACACATGGCACACGCGGTTCACGTTAGCATGCATGTGCGGCACACACTCACTCGTGCACCCAAACGATCACACGGAGCTCCATTCATTTACAGGAATATAAAACTCACACGAATGTTGCGCTCAGAATGGAACATGTACTGTGGGAGGTTAAATGCATAAACCAAAGTCACCAGTGTTATCTTCCTTTTGCAATCGGACAAGCAACATATTCATTCACATAAACAGATACAGCAGTATCCACATTCAGTAGCATTCATTTCTGATCCCTTCTTTTCGAATAGCTTCCGTTAGCTTAAGGAGCACAGTAGCTGGTGAGTCGGGTTCCCATTGGCAGTAACCTGGTGAGCAGGTTGGCAGTAGTTTCACTTCCTCCTGACAGAAACACATCGGGAGGAGAGTGTTTGCAATGAATGCGTGACCTCGGGTTTCCAGGACACCAATCTGATATATTTGATGGTCCTCACACTGTATGATATGATGGCAGCTGAGTATCGTGATTGTCAACATGGCCGGAACAATCTGTTGTCGCAGAAGCTGCAGCCCGGTCTCACCAGAAAACATCTAATAGTTCCGTTCATCCACATGTGAAAGACACGGTTCTAATAGATGACCTGATAATAGAACTCTCTGCAGTCGTTTTCACAGGCAAAATCTCACCAAACAGGAAGGAATCAGAAGTAGATAAACTTCTACTCCTGTCCCTGCCAATCCTATTTCAATAATTTCTGACCAATGTTAATATGTCCAAACCAAAACCTGCAAATGTGTAGACAAAAAGCTAAGCTACATGTGATATTCGCTGAATTTTCAAGCTTTTACTTGTAAATTCCAATGCTTTGCATTGTGGACCAACCAAACTATTTGCTGTTCTGTCATGAGATAGCGTTTGAAGTGGAGTCCTCTTTTTTTCCGATGCCACTTTGTAACGTTGACAAAGTTTTTAACCCTGTGCATGAACCTTTTTATATAGATCTTTTCACAGTACTCAATGACATGGGCAGAAACTAAATAAAAAAAACCTCCATAAAGGCTCTCGGTAAGATGTTGGGCCAGCACATGCCACCAGAACCAATTTGGTGAATCCTACTCTGCCAAAAGATATCCCTTCATTTTGTTGTTGTTTTTAATGTTTAAGCCTCTGGAAAGATGACTTGTAATGGAAAATATTTCACCACAGGGTAAAGGCAATCACTTAACTGCACAAAAAAAGCACCTTCATCTCCTATCACTGCAGGTTCTTCCTTTATTTGTCCGCCATTTGTAGGTTGTTAATTTTCCTTTACAAACAAATTCTCCCTTTTCAGCTGAGTCATATGGGTTATTTTCCACAAATGCTGGATTTAATACTCCCATATCTTTAATGCGGTCATTGTAGTAAGGTCGGATGGTGTTCTGTTTGTAATGTAATCACTCACAAGGGGAGCTGCTCTGAGTTCTGCTCGGTATTGTGTATGGAGGGGTTTGTAACTGTGGCTCCAGGTCACTGTTTTCTACGAAGGCACTAGAAACCGTGCTGAGAGCTTCTTGATCATCAACTCATAAAAAGATATCCAGAAACTACTGCGTGGACTCTCAGTAAAACCTTTACATATAACATATTTTATGCCATCATATATATGTACATATATAAATATATAAGCCACGAAAGATACTGGAAACGACGTCGGGGTAGTTCTGATGAGCTTTTGCACAGTGGCCTAGACTCAGTGTGGAAGCACTTGACAGTGACACTGGATTAAAACCTCCTTTAGTGATCAGTAACATGATTTAGATGAAAGTAAACACAATGTGAAATAGATGCAAGCCAAAAAAGAACAAATTTGAGAAAACACGGGGCTACAAGCAGGCCGATTGGATCCAAATGTGGGACTTCTGGCTGGCGTGACGCCACTCTCCGAATGGACAAACCTGAAGTGGAAATATAACTTTCTTCTTATTCTATTACATATGTACAAGCAGTCCCTCTGTCGTGAAAAAACAAAAGAAACGTATACGAGCTTCTACTTTGAGTCACACTTATCACAGCCGTGGCCAGTTTTTCTCTATATATCACACGCCATTGAACACATTCTGAAAGCAAGGTAAAGAAAAAGGCAAACCCAGATGCTCGCAGGCGTGCACCAAATACAGTATTAAGACGCAGCTTACCTCTGCAACAACCAACACAAGAGTGGTAAAAATGCTTCATAGACTCATGACGTACTCATGCAGATACTTACGAATGTGTGTTAATGCATATTTGCCTGCCAGTGAGTAATTAACTGTATTTTCATGGAATATATCCCTATATCAACATATAGGCATATATATATGAATATACATAGATATATGTGTCCATATATGTAGATATATATCTATATATATTTGAAAATGACGTTTTTTTTTTATCTGCAAAGAAGATAAAGTAGCACTAACACACACACTTGGCCACACACATGCTCAGTCTGAGTGGTAAAAACCCATTCTGGTACATTCCGTCTGCTTCTCCTGTACTGCTTGCTCTGTCCGTCCCTAATGTCTCTGGTTTCGCGCGTTCTTTCATCGGTTGTGGGGGGGACAGTAGAGAGTGTTTTTTTCGTCG